TCTTATCATCCTGAAGGATCTTTCCTATAAAGGGAACAAAGCGAAGGTTAGCCATAGCACCGTGAACGGAGAATCCGTCTAGCAAGGGAGAAAATACGAACCAGAGTAGATGACCTTCATGCGCTCTGCCTCATATTCGCCTTTCTCTTGGGCGATTTTGACCTTGACCTCGCGAACCTAAACAGATGAGCCCCGCACTAGATGACGCTGGGTAGTTGTAGCGACAGGAACACACGTACAGTTTCAGAAGGTTCGACATCGATGACAAACTTCTCCTGCTTCAGATCCTGTAATCGATGACTGTCAGCAGTCTGTAGCAGTGAGGACCCCAAGAGCAAGTTTTCGTACCTTGAAAGTGAGCTTCATTTTGCCGCTTTTGAGTAAAACCAGGGAGCAAAGGGATAGGGAGAAAAGATGACGAATTGAGATAGGAGAGAGGGAGAATACTTGATGCAAAGGATCCTCTCAGCGATGAAGTCGAAGAAAAGTCGAAGAAAAGAAAAGAAAGTAGGAGGGGAGCATTCAGAGTGACGATGATAGCAAACGAGTGCGGTGACCGCCTTCGGATTTACTTCCACTACCACGATCATGACAACTTGCGTCAACTTGCCAGGGTAACTTTTGAAAGGATGTTTTGATATTGACAGCTATTATAGGTTCCATATTGTGTATAGCTCTCTCCCTGTCTATGTGTGTACATATGTGTACATCGGATCAAAGGTTTGATTCCAAGCTGGTTGCCTGTTGCCGCCTGGATGACAACATCCCACCTGGGCAGACATATGGAGTCAACAGGTTGGAGATGCAAATCTATATCCCAAATTGCTGCAATGGTATCGAAGTCCTCTCTACAATGAACTCTCGGTACTTCCGAACTCCTATATAATATAGTATTAAGCGCCACTATTGCCTCTCAGTAAGTAGCACGGACGTTGTACATCGCACATTGCACATATCGTACCCACACGGAAAAAGGATACATATGTAAAATCCACAGAACACGCAAATCTCTTAATTAAAATTGACAAATACTCTCAATGTCATGCGGCAGACTTCTTCCGGAAGAGTGGAGGCAGACAATTCAACCTGTATACTCCATAGTTCCTGCAGGACAGGTCATGATATCCCGTGCCTCCAGCTACTACGAAGTATGGATCTATAAAATCTACAAAGTACAATCTTCGATCTGCCTAATTCGCACTAACTTATCTCAGGCTGGTTCAGCCGAGATCCAGGGGAGCGCGGAGATTTTCTCTTGCAAGGGAGAGAGACACATCACATCCGGCCCGCACTATTGAGATCGAAGAGGATCCGCCACCTCAATCGGGCGGTGGTGTCCACAAGACTGATGGATCAGATTAAATAGTGTCAGTTAGTGAGATTAAAGAAATGAGAATAGTCGCCTATACGCCCTGTCTTTGACGTAGTGATACTTTAGTAATATGGTGTTGCCAGGTCCAAGATGATACCTATTCAGGATGCTAATGTACTCCGTAAGACCACTCCAATATGTTGTCAGATGCTCTTTTGTGTGTCTTATGTCTTTACGTCTTCTAGACATATGCGAAGGCGTGCAGAGGACTAAATCAGACTATCGGATTCCTCTGCATGACGGGTCTAGGCTGAGTCCTGACAGGATAGGGCTACCCCAGAATTAAGCGCACTGGCTTCGCCTCAATGGCTAGAAATATGGCAATTGCCGATATCCACACACATTATGCATCTCCGGCGGGATCGCTCTGCCTAGGCCAATCGACATGATCCCTGTCAAAGCCGATTATATACAAAGTCTAACCACCATGCCGGAATGATAGATCAAGATCTGCTCTTTTGGGAAAAAAAAGAATTGACAGGTTGACACCGACTGCTTCCCCGGTCGATATACTTTGAGCCACGCTGAGATCCGCATTGCCCCGTCCCGTGTTGCGAACCATCTCCTGCATCGACGCATGCTCGACTCATAAATACAGACATCTTCCCTCTCATGGAGTCTGCAGATTCCTTACACTCATTTCCATTGGTAAACGTCTTGGATTGGCAGTCTGCCAACGTTTGACATATCCACTCTCTTACTCTCTTTGATATATATACTTCCAGGCCATTCTTTGCCAAATCGTTCTCTCTTTTCGTCATGTCTTACCTATCTTACTCGTTGGCAGCAGCCTCCTTGCTCATGACATTCATTGCCACCATTCTGAATGGTATCTGCTACGCAAAATCAAAAGCCTCGCCCGATGTAGCCTCGACTATCCTAAGTGCAGTGAGCTGCGTGGCTTTGATTGCCATCGGTCTACTGTACCACCGAAATATCCAAACCGGCCGTCGACAATGCATATATGTCGCCAGTGGATATCTACTTGTTGCCGCCGCAGCATCTGCCGGAGCAATGGCAATGAGCCTTCGAACCTCAATCTTCGTGGTTCACTCTGTGTTCTGGGCACTATCAGTGTTTGCACAAGGCTTGTACTGCGGGTTCCTCGCAGTAACACTAGCCCAAGAGAACTCCAACCCTGAATGGCCGCGTGCCTACTCGCAGGATACCAACTGGCAAGAGCTCAAGGACAGCCTCCAAAGCCCTACTTTCCTCCCATCACCCCCTCGAGTATGCGACTTGTCCGAGCTATTCGAGCCCAAAAGATCCTCACTCCGCAAATTCCCCCGGCGGTCCAGCCGCTACTCAGACGCCACCCTCTGTCCTTCAAGCACAAAGGAAGAAAAGAACGCCTCCATCGACACCAGCTCCTCAACCCGCACCTCCCGGAGCCCATCCCCAACACAGGACAAAAAGCCCGACACCCTCCCATACCGGGACCCTCGCTCCCTGCCCCGAGGCACCCACAGCATCCGCAGCATGCCCAGTCTACGCCGCAGCCCACCAATCGCACTCTCCTTAGACCGGCTAGTGCACCCACCCATGCCATCGCCAACAGCGTCGACAATCCGCGTCGACTCCCCCACACAGTCCAGCTCCAACAGCTCAACGTGGGAATACAACCCCTTCGACGAGAACAACATCCACCCCCTCTTCCGCTCAACCAGCCCCTGTCCATCGCCCACATTTGCCCCGGGCACAATGGTCAAGGCCTCACCGAGCGCGGGACAGACTATCACGGCCGGCACGATCACTCGCATGCGGTCTGCCCGCTCCCTCCGCGACCAGGTGATGCGCACGCCCTCCCCGTTGCCGGACTCGGATGAGAGCTTCTGCCCGAGACCGACTCGGGGTTTTGCTCGTTCGCATTCCGAGAAGAGATATGACTTGAACGAATCCCCTTATGAAAAGTGATTGATCTACCTCGGTATATTTGATCTGCATGATTTTTTTGCCTTTTGCTTTTTATTTTGCTTTTGCTTTTTTGTATATGATGGGTATGGGTGGATCCTTGGATATATTTTGTGTACATAGGGAATGGACGGATGGTATAATTGGATATTTTGCTGCGGCATATAGTTACTGAATGCGTCAAAGTATATATTCGACGATGAGTAGTGCGGAGTAATGTGGCTGATTGGCACTCGTATTTGTTGCGCTTTATTATTATTATACGATACCTGGAAGTTTATTTTACTCCTGAGGGACGTGAGAATGATGCCATGTTAATTAATGGCCTGGTGACAGCCTGTGGCAAAAATGAAATATACAAAGTACTCCGTAGCTAGGGATGACGTGGACTAGCGTACCTTGAAGAGACACATTATCTGAAAATATTCTGTAGTATATCTCAACTGGAGCTCATAGAATCGAAGTAATAGCATTAAGAGTACAACATACGTACAATATATAGACTATATAGTCTACAGTGCAAGTCATCCGCATGCGTTGCTGTCACCGACTCTTAGACTTAAGTGGGTCCGTATATTTTTTCTTAGGGGAAGGGGATAACTATAGAAGATATCAGGAAGGATAATAGATGTGAATAGATATGAATAGATATGGATAGTACATGAATAGTCGATTGAAGATAATAAGAATAAACAGACAATATCAGCATACCTATAGTTAACTATACGTAGACCTGTCCATGCCAAATACCCCGGTACGTATGCCGGAAGTGGCTGGGAATCGATACACGTACATGATGGTATAGACTCTATTGTTCAAAGACAGTTATAGAGGGAATGAATGTATTCTATTCAGAATATAGTCATGTATTGAAGGTGTATGCTATTGTCCTTCCGAGCCTCAGCCGAGCGGCAAAGTCGGGCTCAATAGACATAGAATGGAAGAATACACAATAATCAGAGGAACAATGCAATTTCTTCTTCGACTTGATTCAATTTGATTCAACAAAACACATCCCGTTGCTTGAATTGTGTGAGACGCCGGTTCCAACTTCTCTTAATCACCTTGTTTTGGCCCTTTTTCCCTTTCTTATTCCATCGAACCTCTTTTTCCCTCTTCTCATCTTCTTCTCTCCCCCCGTTTTTTTTTCTTACTTGGCCCCGTTTTCCCCATCCACCCGGTCAAATCCTGCAGTAGATCTCTGCATTTTCGATTTGACTTCATCTTTTTTGCTAGATCCGTCGCTTTGGTAGGTTCTTACTTGCGTCTTCCCTGTCTCCCCCTTCCATTTCCACTCCCCACACTTTGTTTTTCTTATCGCTGTTAAACCCTGTCTCCTGGATCGTGACCCGTGAGGTTCTTCGGATCTTTAGGATCTTGGGATCTGGGATCTTCGGGTCTCTGCATCTCTGCATCTTTGCTTCTTCTGATCTGGGACGTGTATTACCTCTACTTCACGCTTTTCCTGCCAAGCCTTTTCTCCATTGCTACAACAGTGACGTTTCCTTTCTCCATTCTGCATTTGGAAACGCGACTTGTACTTTGCCCTTTTCTACTATTTTCTTACTGTGGTGCTTGGGAATTCGATTCCATTGCACCTCTGTGTCCTACATCTCATTTTACTGTTCATTCTTACCACCCTGATTTCCCGCGCTTCCCCCTTGCTGCTACTGGATCAATTCCCCGTTCAAAACTAATTTTCTTCAGACCAACAGCGATGGTGGGAAGAAGGAAAAACCGCGCGGCTGCACAGCCTGCTGCTAGGACTCCTAGTATTTCTACGCGATCTGGACGCACTGCACAAGGTATGTTCATACAGCTCTGCGCCATCGTTCCAATCTCTGACATGTATAGATATCATTCCCACTCCCCCTCTACTCGGGGAAGAGGTCGAGGCCGAGGACGTGGTCGCGGCCGTGGCCGCGCTGGATTTACTGGCGTTCCTAGTCTTCCTGGCCATCTTCCTGCCGATGAATCACCGAGCAGACCTGAAGTTCGCTCGCACATCGTCAAATTAAAAATTTCCTCACTCAAACTAATTCAAGCTGATGCGGATGATGCCCATGATGGCGAAAATGAAAATGAAACCGCAATCAATGCCGTCTCGCAAAATCCAGAGACCCCTCGCATGCGGCGTCCTCGGCATCCTCGGACTGTTCCTGAGTCCTCGCGGACCACCCGGCAATCAGCAAGACTGAAGCCGGATGGAGAGGGCTCCTTCGAGGAAGATGTCTCACCAACCAAGGCCGTTGATAATCAAATCACCGAGCCAGATGATGACATGCACCAGTATGACGAGGAATTCAAATCCGAACCTCCCTTTCAAAAAGTATCTCAATCCCCTGAACCTCGCATGGTTGCTTCGGCCCCTGTGTCGCCGGGAGCTACTCCCGTGGGTCAAAGTCCCAAAATTTCCCAGACTGAAGAAGCGCCTTCCAATGAGGTGTCTTCACCCCGACTGCATAAACGAAAGTCACTGGAACCGCAAAATGAAACTCCGGATATCGATTCCGAGGACCGTGTGAACAAAAAGCTGCGGATTGATGACACGGAGCTCGAAGAGACACCAGAGAGCCACTTAAATGGCACAGAGATATTAACTCAGAATGAAACGTCTCCCGAGGACATCCCTATCCCCTCGGAAGAATTCGACCCCCCTGCTGACAGCGCTGTCCGGGGAGGTCGTGGAGGTCGAGGAGCCCGTGGCGGCCGGGGTCGAGGACGTGGCCGAGGCCGTGGTCGCGGAAGCCGCGGTGGATTCGTCGGCCCAGTTCGACCTGCAGCAGTTACCAAGCCTCGAGGCGGTCGAGGACGTGGCCGTGCCAAGGCCACTCTGATCAAACGCGGCAAGAAAATCGAAGACGAGATCTGGGACGTTAACGAAAACTGGCGTGGTCCCACCCCATCGCCTACGCCAGAGTCCATGCCGACAAAATCTCGCAAGGAGGAAATGTCTGCGCTCTTCAAGAAGGTTGGCCAGGCACAGCATATTGCGCTGAGCTTCATGGCCGAGCAGACCGTGCACAAGCTTTCCCGTGATAAAAATGCGCACAAAGAATGCCCTGAGTTCGAACAAGTCCAGCGGGATCTGGATGAGTACCAACGCAAGGCAATTGAGAAATTGAACATCGAGTACACGGCGAACACTGAGCTGGAGACTCAGAAGTATGTGGGCGAAGTTCACATCATCAAAGACACTGCAAAGGTAAGTTTGGGTCGAAGTTGTATCACTGAAGAATTCTAACCGTGGAAACAGCTGCTCATCAAGCAAATGCAAGAGGAGATGGTTACGATGCTTATGGGCAAGATGATGGCCCTAATCCAAGGCCGCAGGGTGGCCGAGGATGATGAACACACCGAGGTTAGTACGCCGACTTCCCAAACGAATACCTAGCTAATCAATCTCCAGTACGACACATCGGATTCCGAGGAATCCGTGAAGCACTTCCTTTTCCGAGACGGCGATACGGCGGTAAGACAGGTAGAGCGCGGGTTTGCAGCCGAAGCAGTTCGAGACCCGGAGGGGGCAGCGGACTTTGTGGCCGCGGAGGAGGGATGGGAGGAGTTCGTCCAGAGAGTACGGATGGGCCGCCTGAACGAGGAGATCGCACCGGCAGAAACAGAAATCAGCGACGAAGATGCCCTGCGCATGTGCGCCAAAGATGCCTTCAACGGCATACTCAATGCAGCCACCTTCATCCGAGAACAAGAGACAGCTGGCAAGTTCGTCAGCTACGATGGCAGCGCTGATTTCCCCGTGCACCCACGGGCACTTTCCATCTTGGCAGATGCGGCTCTGACCGAGCCCATGCCCCAGCATCTGCCAATGATGCGAACTGACCCTGGCGCGCACCACCGTGCTCTCCTCCCCCACCCCACCCATGCCCACCCGGGCCCACCTCCCTCTCTCCACGGCCACGGGCCAACGGACCCGCGGTCCTTCATCCTCCCCCGGCCCACCCCCACCCAACAGCCGCGGCGCCTTCTCCCCGCCCGCCAGCAGCTGGGTCTGGGGATGGGCCTGCCGGACCCGTTCGCAATGAACGGGCCGCCGCAGCTGCCCCCACCCCCGGGCTCGAACTTCGCGCGTCTGCCCCTGCCGGGCTACATGCCCCAGGGCCACGCGCCCTCCCTGTACTTCCCGCCGCCGCCGCCCGGCTCGCACCCCCCGCCCCCGCCGCGCGGGTACTAGACCCGCCGGCTTGTACCAAGATGTTTGTGAGCGTTCCCCGCAGTTGATACCAATTCTTTTTTTTGTACGTTTAGTTGCGATGTCCTCCCCCCTGAGTGGGGATAGGGGGGGAGGGCATCAGAATGAATACATTTTCTCGTTTGAATGGGTTTTGTAGTGAAGTAAGAGTAAGAGACATGTCATATCAAAACAGATCAGATCTGAAGTGAAAGTAAAGTGAAAGTAAGCAGCAAGTGAGAAAAGTGAGAGATTCAAATGAAGTCAAGAGAGAGTTCATCGAAGGGATGTCCTAATAAGAGAAGACGCCAGAATTGTTTTGACTGGGAGTCCTTTATCCCATCTCACTTCCACTTTGTCCACCTCTTTCTTTTCTTCCACTTTTTTCTTCTCTTTCACCTTCTTCACCCTCTTCACTTCTTTCATTTATCATCTACTTCTACGACGCAAACCAGACAAACTTGACTTCCGAAAATGACTTCTCTCGCATGTTCCGATAACTCCTCATATACAAAAACTCACCAGCCATCGAAGACTCCTCAAAACCTTCTCTCATGAAGGCACTTCACTTCAAGTGGATGCCAGCACTATTACAAACTGGTTTGAGGAGCATGATGACGGCAATCAGTGGATTGATTCCACTATTGCATACAGATCTTGAGGAAGGCTTGCCTCTGTCGGCCTTGCCTCTGGATCGGTAGTATGCGAAATGGCTCTAATCGAAGTCCAAATCATCGATGACAACGGATTTAAGATCACCCCTTCGTTTTCAGAACGGGCCACCATCAAGCCTGAAGAGCCGGGATCGATCAGGCTATCTGGGCAAGCCATGCGGAATTCTGCTACTCTATATACAAATATTTATCCAACCCCCGTGACGAAGCCAATCAACCATAAAACTGGATTCATCGACGGAATTCCCCGCTATATTCAACCATGAACTGAGGTCCAACAACTCAGAGCAGAGAATCCGGGTTGATCCCGCCACAGCCTAGTGCCTCTCAGTTTTCTTCCTCCTGCATCTCTCAGCTCGCTATTCAATACACCACTTATCATCCTACCCTTACCTCACCAATATGCCTATCCGGAGATCTGTGGGTCGCAGGCGTCGTCCTCGAGCCTCACGGGGACGCGCTCGTACCCGTTATAGCATGGCCAGCGACCCAAATGAGAATGCTACAGCGGCTGACTGTACCGACACTGATGATGACCCTCTGCCTACCACCGAGTACGATTCCGGCTCACTTGCGGATGACGTCGCGGATGACAGTGACCTGGGCTTACTTGGGGAGGCGCTTATCCCACCTGAGAGCGGATGGACCACAGATAATCCAATTACAGTACGGACGTGGGCGTCCGACGTTGGATCTGGGGCGAAGTAGCCGACGTCATGAGAAATGAGATTTTCGAGATGGCTCACGGCGAGGGACACCTCGGTTTTCACCGTGCATGGCAGAAGATGCGCGGCTTCGTCGTACATAAGGGAGCCAAGAAGCTCCGTGAGTACATTGACCAATGCGACGAGTGTAAGAAGAACGCTGTTCCACGCCACAAGCCATACGGCTCACTCCAGCCAATCCTGGCACCCCCTATACCCTTCCATACTTTGACAATCGACTTCGTCACTGGGTTGCCCCGGACGAAGAAAGGATTTGACGCCGTTGCAATCTATACTTGCAAATCAACGAAGCGTATCGGTTCTGCGCCCGGAAAGAAAACCTGGAAGGGCTATGACTGGGCGGCAGCAATCCTGTACGATCTGCAAAAAGGCGATTGGGGTATTCCTGTCGTGTGGATTTCGGACCGCGATAAGCGATTTATCGAGGGCTTCTGGAAAGGCCTTTTTACTGCCCTGCGTACTAAGCTACTGTATACTGCAGCGTACCACCCCTCAGCCGATGGACAATCTGAACGGTCAAACCAAACTGCCGAAATCTGGCTCCGACACTGGCAGAACTTGCACCAAAACGTTGATTGGGATGAAGGCCTAGCGCCTATGCAAGCTTCGCTCAACGCATCCAAAAACGTTTCTACGAGCGAATCGCCTCATAAGCTTATGTTCGGCGTCGAGTTGCGTATGCCGTGGAATCTCTTGCGGCAGGCCTTCGTTGGATCTCCCCAGGCCGAGCGCCAGGACGCGGATGAATGCGCCAAGTACGCGGCAATGGTCATGAAACGCCGGTACGATGACAAGCATAAGCCTATTTTTTTCAATAAGAACGACTACGTCTACTTGCGCCTCGCGCAAGGAGCAGAACCAGGATATGTCCTACCCTCCCGCGACATCACACGCAAGCTCACACAACGCCAATATGGCCATCACAATCAAATACTTGGGAATGGGATTCATTGTTTAGAGCACGCAGTCCCGCTCGAAAAACATGGAAAGGAAGCTCGGTTGTCCAACGTCTTAATGTCACGCCCTCCTGCGTGACTGGAAAGACATGTCCCAGTCCTTCGGTGCCCGGTTCCAATACCCCTTGACCACGTCGCTAAATATTCTCCTGGAATGCCTGGAGAGACGGATATAAAGAAGCAACTCATCAACACGGCTATATGATATGGACTGCGCAAGAGCCATGGATGACTTTCCCGAGGAAACCGGAGGAGGGAGAAAGGAAGCACCACAATCCATGTGGGACATTCATCAAGATGTCGTCGCCAATGTAAATGGCTCTTTTCGCCGCAGAGGTTGCCTATGTTGAGGACTTGATCGGTATAGCTACTTTTCTCTTCCTCGCCTCCTAGTCCTACAACTCCATAATTGGAGTAATCTCTCGCTCGCTTCCATGCTATACCAGAGGAAGAAGATAAATGCGGAATCGAATTGTCTACCCTTCAGACTCGAGGATCTTGGCGACTGGTTTATCCCTTCGGCAGGTTCGTGGCAGCACTGCCCAGGTACTAGCTGGCTGGTATCGGGATGATACGCAAGAAACACATGCTGGCTCTGCAACATACCCTGGTAGAGGCAGAGTTATCATATCACAGGACGAAGAAGATAATTTTCTTCTCATCGTTAACTTTGGATACCTTGCGTGTCACAGCTAGCTTAGTCATACTAGCTTAGTTAGTAGCCCCGCCAAGGTGGCTCACAATATCATCAACTTACTTCCCCCCAATGAGCTTACTGCTACATTTCGCCAGCATTTTATGCTGCGCTTGTGCAGGGACAGTTCGGAAGTTCCTTCGAGCAAATCCCCATGTCCATTTTCGCTGTTTGTATTCCATTTGTTCTATTGGTCAACGCCTGGACTAGGCTTCCTGGAAGCCTGATGTTCGGCATCTCCATCCCGCGAACGGTCGACGCGAATGTCAACATATACACCATAATCTCCTGGTGTCTGGTTTCGGCAGAAAGAAATCCAGCAACTTTTAGAGAAAAGCATAGTGGCTCTAGGGCTACTTTCACCAATGAATGTCTGTTCCAAATCATGTCAGGAAAACCACATCAAACACCACCCAGATCTTGCAAAAACACATTACAAAGGCAATGGAGGCGGGTCCAACTGCGCAAAGACGAAAGCTGCTACTATCACAAAAGAGACGGTAGTTCTGTGCGCCGGCTTGGCCATACTTCGGGAGCGGCCAACCATTGGGATATATGTACGATGTAGTCAGCTGCATGACGATCTGGCCTCGTACTTGCCCGATTCGTACTTCCCCCATCTGCACCTTCTGCTTCTGGTGGAATCGCTCTTTCCATATTTTGCATGGTTTGCAGAAGAAGAAGACCGCACAAAACCAGGAGAATGCAGCCTGTAGATAGTTTTCTTTTCTTCCTTTCCCTGTACTTAGTATCTTGATGAAGATGCACTCGTTCTCTTGAATCGAACTGGCAAGTCGCAAGCTTAGGCCTCAATCTAATGTCGCGCGTGCGCAGTTACCCTTCGAGATCTAGTCCAATACGTACTTTTGATGATTGAGATTGATTTCTCATTTCGGTATCTTGCTTGACAGACAGAAGTGTATGTTGTACATGGCAAGGAGCCACTAATCTTTTTTTGGCCTGTTACCATCTCATCTAGTTAGCTGCTTGCCTTGTTTCTTTTCTGGCGATGTCTTTGCACGCACCCTAGGTTGTGGCAAGGCTGAGTAGGATGACTAGGGTTGACATGCTGTAGCATCAGCCATATTCTAGCTTCTAGCCAAGGCCTATATTCTATTATTGTGGCTGTGCATGGCTGTGTGTACCTATGACTGATATTGGAGTAAACCTTGGAATATTAGACTATGTTGTATGCAGAATGAATCACCGTCAAGATGAGACAGAATGAGTCAGTAGAAATGAAGTAACGGTACATAGTCTGCCATACTATCTTCCATAGTAAAATAAGTACCGGTACATATTTCCAACCCACCAACTCGCCTCTGCGGCTCCGGCGGGGCAAACTCAGCGAAGCCTCTGATTGGCTCGAGCTTTTGTTCTTTTTTCAGTTGGATCGCACGTCTCTGCCAAATTATTTATCTCGGCTTCATTCTGCAAATCCTAGACTCGATCCTTGAATTCCCTAATTCCAGATCACAGTTTCTGTTTCTGTTGATCTTGCATCTGCTAGCTTTGCGCCTTTCGCTACCCCGCTCCTCACCGCACACTTTTCCCACTCTGCTCTTTGCAGCATCTTCTGATACTCTAACCATTATGGCTGTTCGCGCGCAATTCGAGAACTCGAACGAGTAGGATCCCCCAAACGCAAAGAACGAACGCTCGGGAGCTGCGGCTGACGGTTTCCTTCTAGGGTCGGCGTTTTCTCTTGCCTGACAAATGCCTACGCTATCGTTGCGGTTGGTGCTTCGGAGAACTTCTACAGGTGTGTCGTTCAGATATTCAAAGGGTGTGGGATTGGGACTTGGGACTGGCATGGATAGGGATGGTGGTGCTAAGGCATATCCAGTCACTGCCAATGCTGTGCCAGTTCAAATCTTAATCTCAATCCCTAGCCTCTACCCCAATCCACCCAGGAAATACCACTAACACTCAAATGCAGTGTCTTCGAATCCGAACTCCAAGATGTCATTCCCATCTGCCACGCAACCATCGCCGGAACCCGCATTGTCGGCCGTCTAATCGTCGGGTGAGTCGGCCAAAGCGAGTTCAAAACGAACAGCCTTTTTTTTTCCTGTCAGGAAAGGAAAATTTATCAAGAAAAACACAAATGCTAATAATATCTCGCTTTAGTAACCGCAAAGGTCTCCTCGTCCCCACAACCACCACAGATCAAGAATTGCAACACCTGCGCAACACGCTTCCAGCCGAAGTCAAAATCCAACGCATAGAAGAGCGCCTCTCCGCGCTTGGCAATGTTATCTGCTGCAACGACCACGTCGCAATCGTGCACCCGGATCTGGAGCGTGAGACCGAGGAGATGTGAGTAGGAGTCCAGCGCTCATAACGCATTCATCCATCCCAAACTTCCTTCCTTGTATTTTTCTTCCAAAACTAACATATCTTCTTTCCTAGCATCGCCGACGTCCTCGGCGTAGAAGTCTTCCGCCAAACAGTAGCCGACAACGTCCTCACAGGCTCGTACATGGCCCTCTCAAACCAAGGCGGAATCGTGCACCCCAAGACCTCAATCCGCGACCAGGACGAGCTCTCCTCGCTCCTGCAAGTCCCCCTCGTGGCCGGCAGTGTGAACCGCGGCTCTCCCGTCGTCGGCGCCGGCATGGTCGTCAACGACTGGCTCGCCATCACCGGTCTCGACACCACAGCCACCGAGCTGAGCGTTATCGAGTCCGTGTTCCGACTCGGCGAGATGGCGCCCGGTGGCGCCGCCGGGGCTGGTGTCAATAAGGATAGTATTGTGGAGAGTTTCTACTAGATTTTTGTCTCTTGCAACTTTTTCTGCTGAGCTCTTTACGGTACATGGTCCTGTTCTTATTTTCACGCTGGAATGATTTTTTGATTTCAAAGTTACTGGCAAAATTCCTTTTGGTTTTTTTGGGGGGGCCCCTGTTCGGCTCTGTGTTCTCTGCTCTCTGTTCGGTCTGATGGGTTTTTCTTTGGGAGTCTGTAATGCCTGTGCTTTGCATATACTCGAATGAATTATGCATGATGGATGGAGTGTGTAGTATCAAAAAGATTTTCTAAAATTAATCGAGATATAGATGTTGACACTTGAGCATATCGATATCGATCATGATGGTAGTCTTGTGGACTTTTAGATATCCGTCTAGAGGTATAGATCTCCTAAAAGACAAACTTACAGCTCAAGATAGGCTGAATTGATGCAAACTATGATAGTGGCACTTGGGCTCGGGGGTATTGTCGACAGCATAGAAAGCAATAGAAAGCAAAAAAAAATAAAAAAGGTAAGAAAGGCACAAAAAGAACACGGTAGAAGCAAAAGTAATGCAGGTTACTGAGATATCAGTTTCAATCCCTCCATTTTCTTCCGATTCTCTCGCTTTTTGACTCGCTTTTGGGTATTGATGCAGAAGCACAAAATAAGACAAGACGCGCAGGAGTTGCCTATACCTCCATGGCAACGTCGACTCCAGCGCCCGACTCAGCTTTCGGAGATGAAGCATTGTCTCCGGTGTTCCCCATGCTAGTATCGCCATCGCCATATTCTCTAGGGAGATCTGCTGGAGGGGGCGGAGGAGGAGGCGGTGGGGGTGTAGATTTCTGTCTTTTGGAAGGAGAAGCGGCTCCGTCTTCAGCACCGTCGACATTCAAGACTCCGTTTCGCTTGCGTTTGAGAGACGCGTCATCGTCTTCCGGGGAGAACTCGCAGACGCACCCGCGACAGCTTCATCGTCACCTGTGCTAAGAACCTCGCTTCCGGGGTTTGGGGTGGCGTCCTGCGACTTCTCGCCCTCGTGCTTCTCGCGATCCACGTATTTGGCTGCCGCCTTGCGGAAGAAGGTCTTGCAGTAATTTTTGACGGTTTGCTGGTGCTTCGCGGAGATCTTCGCGGTAGGGTCCTTGACGCGATTATTTTTGTAATCGCTTTCAACGAGCTTTTTCGCGGTCTATTAATGAGAATGTCAGCAAATTGAAATCGAGAAAGAATCGAAAGTGAGGGCCATGAGCTTACCTCCTTAGCAAATCGTTTAAGATGATGGTCGGGGATCTTATGCTTGTATTGATCCACCACAGGCTTGATATGCGGGAAAAGCTGTGCTATGTTAGTCCAGTTATATCTCGTGTTTTGCGTGAATACTCACAGTGTTCTCGTAGATTCTCTTCTGTTTCTCCAATGGAAGCTTCCTCCACTTCTCTCCATCTTTATGTCTTTTCTCCGGTTGATCAGCGGAAGGCCGAGGAGTCACGGGCGTATCAGTTCGGTGCTCGGAGGGTGTGTCCTCCTGGGTGTTCATAATCCCATCAATGATACTCTGCAATGCCAAGTTCTGTTGATTTTTGGCAGGCTGACCTGGCGCAGGAGTAACAGGAGTAGCAGGCAACGTTGGCCGTTCCCATGTGGTTTTACCCGATGCAGAGTAGTAGTAAACGCGGCCATCTGCCTCCGCAGTATACCATCCCTCAGGCAATGGCCGAGGGCCACGACGGTTGGGTTGTCTGGACCGCTGAGGACCTCGGTCTCTTCGTTGCTGCACTGGTCCACGAGGAGCATCGTACACAGGAGATGGAGAGCGAGTAAGAGATCGCTGGCGCTGCTGTTGTCCAGTTTCGCGGCGCTCGAACTGGTTGATTGCCTGCTTCGCGTCCTTGCCGCGTTTCATGCGCGGGATTCGGTAGGCGACTTCCAGACCAGACCAGCTCTCGAGAAGGGCGGCCGCTTTCTTCGCGACTCGCTCATCATCGCAGGTCGTCAACGGCCGGATGTTCGTCTCAATCTTAGAGTCCTGGATCTTGTTCCGGGTGAGTCGCGGGAACCCGTCGAGGATGTTCAAGATCTGCAGAACCACGTTCTGATCATCCTTCCATTGAGCGAGCTGGGAGTTCAGGATCTGGTATCCATGCATTCGGACCACGCGATTGCGAACGCGTTCGTCGTCACAGCGCTGGATACGGCCTAGCAGTTTGACCGCGATCCACTTCTCCTGGCACTGAACAAGAGCCGCCATGACCTTGGTCACACCATCCTCATCCAGCGACTTGGGCTGCACGCTGTCCACATACTCCTCGTCGTCCTCTTCCATCTTCTTCTTCTTGGGGCGTTTCGCCACCACGGTATCCCAACCATCTGCCTCGTCAATGCCAAGAGCCTCGATAGTTGCATTGGACAGCTTGGTCGCACGCTCAGTCTGAGTGCGTCCACCGATGAATCCCGTGCACATTGGCTCCCCACAATAGCAGGGCTGGGGGTCGGCACCGTATCGATCAACATTGTAGTTGAAAACCAGCTCCTCACCGGCCTGAACAGCGCGTTCAGCGAAGATTCCCATCCGTAGCTTCTCGCCCACAACCCATTTGTCAACATAGCAGTTGGGATTGCACGAGTGATTGCAGAATCGGCCCAGGTTGCCTCGCTTGGTCGCATCGACAAACTCGCCCTTGTTCAAGGACATGAAGTAGAAGTGCTTAATGCCCTCCTCATCATATTGTCTCATGCGCTTTCGAAATTGCTGCTCTCCCACGACCTCACCGACATATTCGTAAATCAATTCGCCCGGATCGAGATTCTTTTCCGCGCGCAATCCGAAACCCTTTTTTTCTGTTTTGATGACGGCCACCGGTGCGAACTGTCTTTTTTGAAACCGCTGGTTTTGGCAGTCGGAGCCACAGCCGCAGTCGCCCGCACATTCGATCTTGGTCGCGCGATTGATACAATCCGAATCCTCGCCACATGCGATATTTTGACCAATCTTCGGATCTACAGAGTGGATCAGTGATATGCTCGTGGAGGTTCCATCAGGCCGGGAATCGGGCAAGAAGACAGCGAGGCTACTCGAAAACCAAACTTACCCCACTCTTCAGCGCAATCACATTCCATGGCATGTTCGGTGTAGCCCATGTATTTGTTGGCGTAGGTACAGCCGGGGATCTGTTCAAAGGTGGCGAGCGCATCCTGGGTGCTATCTGGCAGGTGCGTGTACAGCGGCGGAGGTCGCGACGCGACTTTTTGCGACGAGCTGCGAGACAGCTTGAGCGGTTGGCCCGGTTCCCGTTTGAGAACGATGTCGCCGACGTTTTCCTTCATTGTATGGGATGGGTCGGAGTTGGGGGAGGACTCTTTTTTCGGAGGGAGAGGAGATCGAGATGAGGTACGCGACTCGCCGTTTTTCAAATGAATGCCGTTTACCGGAGAGTCCCGCAGCATTTTGGCAGGAGCCTCTTCAGAGTCCGCGTGGCCATGGGCAGACATGACAACACGGACTACGATTGGAAGATATGGAAAGAGAGAGAGAGAGAGAGATAGAGGAAGAGGGAGAAGAAAATAAAGCAGAATACGAAGTTCGGGGACGATTCTGCCAGGATATGCCCTCGGGAATCAAGGGGGTTCCAGAGCGGTCAAGGTAAGAAACAATCTCATTGATAAAAATCTCCTAATTTGACTGAAATCGAAGCTATTGTCATTTTCGGTGTCTCACCGCCTTGAGCCTACTCTCACTGTCTTGTATAGACCTGAATCATCTCGGTTCACCAATGGTGGTTGTATGTTGTATAGGTGGTATAGGTGGTATAGTGGTGTGGTTTTCACTTCCCACTCAGGCTCATAGAGAGCATACCTGGAATAGGTATGGACCAACTCTGGTAGAGTAGTGGGAGAGTGACCATAGTCATTCCTCAATCCCAATTGTGGTTTAACATCTATGTGGTGATTTCCACACGGGAACTGTGACAGGGTTGTTCAAGGTCAGCATAAGCCTAAAGTGATATAGATGGAAACGAAGAAAGACCAGAAAAGGGGAAATGTAAGAAAATCCAAAAGCGTGAAAGTTATGAAATCGATTGGAGGAGAAAGCAGGAAAGGCGCGTCTGCATGTGTGTTGTTCGTCAACGTGGAAGTCTGTGCGTTTCAAACTGGTTTAGTAGATGGATTACATAGATTACGGGGATTACATATCAGATACACTGTATCATGATACTGTTCCTGATAATACCAGGTACAATACGCATGGGATACCGATGTGATATCAAATGTGATATTGTAGGGCTACCTGCCTCAGGCTGTCCTTCTATATAATCCCGTGCTTCTTCATCTTCTCTTTTCTTCTTCGTCTTCTGCATCTCCACCATCTTCACCTTTCCCCCTAATCAATTACCTGTATTTTACCAAGAACCTCATGGCTGCATCTCGGCGGAGTCCGCCTCTCCACTCGGCTCATCTCTGCCAATCGTTCTGGCCCCATTTTCATCAGAACCCGCTGCATGACAGACGCGCTTTTTTTCTCTGTACGATCGCCCACTCTAACCGCCCCTGAGGCTAGCTTCAAACAAAATCATTTTTCACTGCATTTTCTGCATTTTCTTGGGGCGTACCAACGTCCCGGGCCCATGTTGGCACCTATCAAATCGCATTCTCGGCTCCATGATTCCACTCTTTGCTGGAGAAGACCCGACGAAACCAAAATCATGCACTAAAATTGCCCCCAAAAAAAGAAAATATAACGCTTCGTCAACTGTCCCTTGGTTCTGGAACTGCCAGGGCCAACCGTTTCCCGAACCAACGATGCAATTCGGCGAGATCTAAGCCTATCTTATACATTATATTGCCTGGGCATTCCCAGCCCATACAACCCTATGCAAAAGACCTCATCTGTTCGATACAATGCAGCCCCCACTCCATTCAACCCCTCGATTGTACTTTCGGAGGAATCAGAAATCCAATCTCCCCGCTTCCCGGTCTTCTTAGTGGTAATTTTGCCTTTTTCACGTTCTTCGAAACTCTTCTGGAAAACAATATGAAAC